ATATGAAACCCACATCTCGCACATGCGGGGCGCGACGACCACCGCCCTTAACAGAAAATTTACAAAACCAAAATCTACAGGAACATTAACAGACAGGAATTATCCACATACAACCATGCACACTGGACAGAGAAAAGCAAAAAAAAAGTCTAGCCCAAAACTAAGTAGTGAAGACAAAATATTTTGCACGGTATTTCTTCTACTTCCACCACCAAAAACAACTAAGTTCCTAATGGCCGACCGCAAATAGGGAAAATCCACCAATACCTCCAAGATCTCCTTTACTGGTTTGCTTCTGATAAAAACGTTCTAATTACGTCGATCTTATTCCAATAATCAAGACACGTTTGGTGTCAAATGAACGCTTCATATTACGTGGTGAACTTCGATAACATCCAATAAACAAAAACAAGTTTGAATGACGTTTTTTAAGTTAAACATGAAACAATTTGAAAAGCAAAAAAATGTTTATTTTTTGGATCATACCAACAATTATGTCATCTATTAAGAATTCAAAGTTATCAAGTATAAATGATCTGAATAAACTGTGCGCATTGTAGAATAAGCAGTGTGAGAGTTCATCATATTTACACTGTGCATGGAACACATTTCCGAACACATTGTAAGCATAGGAACTTACCATATTTACACTGCATGTTGTCAGTGGAACACATTTCTGAACACATTGTTAGCATAGAAACTTACCATATTTACACTGCATGTTGTCAGTTGAACACATTTCTGAACACATTGTAAGCATATAAACTTACCATATTTACACTGCATGTTGTAAGTGGAACACATTTCTGAACACATTGTAAGCATAGAAACTTACCATATTTACACTGCATGTTGTCAGTTGAACACATTTCTGAACACATTGTAAGCATAGAAACTTACCATATTTACACTGCATGTTGTAAGTGGAACACATTTCTGAACACATTGTAAGCATAGAAACTTACCATATTTACACTGCATGTTGTCAGTTGAACACATTTCTGAACACATTGTAAGCATAGAAACTTACCATATTTACACTGCATGTTGTCAGTGGAACATATTTCTGAACACATTGTAAGCATAGAAACTTACCATATGTACACTGCATGTTGTCAGTGGAACACATTTTTGAACACATTGTAAGCATAGAAACTTACCATATTTACACTGCATGCTGTAAGTGGAACACATTTCTGAACACATTGTAAGCATAGAAACTTACCATATTTACACTGCATGTTGTCAGTGGAACATATTTCTGAACACATTGTAAGCATAGAAACTTACCATATGTACACTGCAGGTTGTCAGTGGAACACATTTCTGAACACATTGTAAGCATAGAAACTTACCATATTTACACTGCATGTTGTCAGTTGAACACATTGTCGATTCTGCTGCCATAGGTGCCATCCCTCTTGCATCAAAAAACACGTTTTCGCCAGTCAGTTTGTTGTACACAGTCATCACAAATCCACCACCAATTCCAGAGCTTTCGCTTTGTACCACTCCAAGGCATAGCGCCGTTGCTATGGCAGCATCCACGGCCGACCCACCATCTTGTAAAACATCTCTGAAGCGAGAAAAACGAACACACATTCTGTCCAATGTCATCCTATATGATGTATTCAGTATGCCTTATTCTGCATATTTTACTCGATATGTTCAAGTTAACTTTTCCAATAACTAGAACGAGAGCGAGTGATTCCAAACCTCGGGAAATTTCTCTCAATCAAAAATACTACAAAACATTAGTAGGCGAATTTTAATAAGAATTCACGTAAGATAACTTTGTCTAAATATGTTTGAACCCATCCTAACCCCGACCTCCCCTCCAAACTGTTGTAGCCAACGTCCACTCGGATGGTTTCGTATCCGTTCAAAAATTGCGTATGTTGAGGCAGCAAGCTGGAACATTATACCTTGAACATTAAAGATGAGTATAACCCAGGGTTATGGTACATGCTGTAAATTTGTTGTAGCTTGCTCAGCTGAAAACAGTTACTCAGTCATTTTAGAACTATTTACTCTCAAAATCAGCAGAGTATATGTCTGATCGTCAAATATGCATTGTCCGTCACTGTTATTTCATGGTGTTAGTTTTGTGTTCCGGTCACGAAGTTAATTACAGCTTGCCAGACAGTAGAAACCCACACTATCGATCAAACTGATTGTTGCGCAGTAGCTTTGCGTGGCAGCAATACAAATAACATTTCGCCGACAACTGGAATGCTATTTATACCAATAGTGTTGGTAATTAATACTGCCGAACATATATGTTAGCATAGTGTGACGTCATATAGCCATGTTCATATACTGGAGAGCAAGTACGGATAAATTACCTTCTGGAGATGTGCAAGCCAAGTGAATCCCGTTTTTAGGATTTTATGTATAATATATGACACTGTTTTGGGTAGAAAATTAAATAACAGTTTTGTCACCATAAGAAACTTTTCTATGCACTTGGGAATATATTGTATATCCACTTTTCCAGTGTATATCATGTATTATACCTGCTGTATACCCCAGACTAGAACCTAAAGGGTTTGAATTATATTATTATATTATTCAATGAAACATGTTGTATACCAATCTTTTGTTTGTATCGTGTATGTAAATTTTACAAACATGACTTTTGCTTTTATCTATAGGACATCATACATTATTTGATAAATTTTGGGATATGCATGGATTATACGTGCCGCGAATGTCCGACATTTATGTTGATAAATGATTTTGCCACAATCCAATGCACTCACGATTATTATCTGGACGCAACTAGCACTAATTTCCTCCTGTAACACCTCCGATACCTTCCAATCACCAAAGAAATTATCTAATTAAATCTTGGTAACGTCTCAAAAGTCAAAGTCGCCATCTTTGTTTATATGGAACCCATATCTCACACATGCGTGGCGTGACGGCCACTGCCCTTTAAATATATTTTGGTTTGTAGATTTTGTAGGTGTAAATAAAGTCACATTTTTAGGGCATCCCTAACCAGCTTGAAAAGGGTATGTCTGACATAGCTGGTAATGTAAATCCCCACTTCAATTGAATGATTTTCCTAACCCATCTTACCTCCCAGCTTCAGAACATTCGGTGTAATCACTTGCAACAGCACCGTTATTAAATCCATTCGGCGACGGTGTCGTTATCAGCTGCTGATCCTGGGTCACGCGAATCGCCACAATTGTTGCAATCACAAGGGCGAAAATAAGCAGTCCGATTACTACGATAAAAATAACCTGCTTTCTTGTACAGCTGCACCTAGTTGCTTTGTCGTTTGAGTCTTTGGTGTCTTGGTCTCTCTTTTTCTGTGTGTCTGTTTGTCCCTCTTTGGTTTTATCTTTGACTTCATCAAGTTCAACGTCATCAAACCCGTCATTTTTTGCACCTCCAACCGATGTTGAAGCAATTGCTGTCGCATCTTTTTTACCTCTTACTTTTTCTGCATCTTTATCACTTTCTCTCGAGTCGACCTGTCTTGCTTGCTTTGACTCTTCGTAATTTCTGGAAATATTAAAACATAACTACACTCATACACAAGATTTGATGAACTTATGTATATATTATGAATATGTATAAACGCACTTCATTTGAAATTCAAAAGAGAAGAAAGGAGTGGCCAGAGAATCGCCTTTTTTCATTTTGCAAAGAGTTCACGCGACAGTTTATTTTTCAAACCCCATCTCACCACGATCTACTGTATTATTTCGCATCGTCACGACACGAGCAAATAGAGTTCATAACGCATTATAAACGTACATATCATACTCATAGACCTTAAAAAGAGATTCCAAGGTCTATGATTCAATATAAATCAAATTAAATCGTGACAAGCGGTTGGCTGATTGGTGACCCGCGAAGGCAAACAATCATGTTGAACCAAGCACCAATCCAAGAACCAAATAGCGACTTTGGGCACACACTCACGCAAAGTAGAATGAGATATGTCCGAGATTTTTACTTTTGGCACGAAGATAGGAAAAATACGTTTTCCGGCTGATGCCCTGGCAAAGGTGGGCAGGTTTTTTTTTCTTCTACCTTACTAGAGTGCAGATGTGACGTTGTTATTAGCGTGATCAGCCCAACAAAAAACAGAGTTAGTACGTATGTGTGGACAGACAGCATGTCTTATGCCATGATGCGATATGATATAGTTGACATTCAAGGGGGAAGTGAAACTCCTCTTCTATTGTAGAAGTACTACACATTAGGCAGAATCTCACTAGACGCATGGTGCCGAGAACAGCCACTGTCTGGTGGCGCTGTATACAATTTAAACCTATTTAGGCTTGTCAACGCTCACGCTGGCGATCAGAGTAAACAGCGGAGACACTTGTTAAATTTGGTGACTAGTTTAGCATGATAGAAAGCTTAGTATGATACAGTCTTGAAATAGCCACACTAGACAGAGTGGGGGTCAAGACCTAATATACATGATTCCGGCACCGGCGTTTCATAATAAATGTTTTCTATTAATAATTGCACTTTAAAATAATACTCATGAGATATGTCTAAGTCATAAACTTGTTAAAGTTAATAGCATATATTGCCACAGTCCCTCAATGGACTGTGATATTGTGTATGCAGTGCGCATGGTTCGGGTTCTGTTTTCGTATCCCACAACCAATGCGTCATCATAGTGAGGTAAACTGTAATTTACGTTTTACGCAAGGTAACGTACAGCACCATCAATGAGGGTTGTCAATCAAACCTCATTGATGTTGCTGAACGTTGCGTTCGTATTCAAAGCCCATACATAAGCGACGCTACCAGATATATACACAAGCTAACAAGCCACACCAACCCAGTGACTTCTGAGATTGCAAAGGATTTGTACACACTCCCACCATGCCATACGCTGTAATATGCAATTACAATTTTGGTTCCCCGTAACTCCGGATGTATTATATTGTCATCTCCTGATTTCATTGTAATTTTACTGTGGAAAATATAGCTCACTGTCTTGCAATATTGTTTAAACTGTTACATTTGAACTATCAATATTGCTATTTTGTTTACAAAACAGTGCGCTATATTGCAATACGGCTGGTTGGATTGTTTTTTGTTCATCTTAAGTGGAGTATTAACATATGTTTTAATGAGTCGCTATGGTAACATTAACAATGAATTCAAGAATCGAATGCACGTAATAATGTATCAAATTCAGTGTGACGTAACCAGCAGGATAGCTTGGTATCCAATGTTACACCTATATTCAACTAAATATTTACCCAGGATGCTAGAATACAAGGAGACCTTTTTCTGAACTTCTATTAAAAAAAAAACAGTGACAGCATGAACTTGAAGTACATTTTCAACAACCAAGGCTATTATATTCGTACTAGATAAATACGTTGCTTTCGAACACAAAGGAACACACATCGCCGTGAAGACGGTTTTCGGAACACCGCATTTACTGGCGAGTCTAAACCAGAGAAGAATCGGGGTAGTCAGCGTCGCGTTTCACGATTTGTTAGTTAAACCGTGATAAGAATATCAATCATTTTATTTTACTGTATAAAAACAAAGCCATTCTGTAATACAGTTTTCAAGACGTGAGGTTCGTAATTTGGTGTTACACATAATATGCCCCCTGCATCAAGTGAAGGAAATATACCGATTACAGTGCAAGGCAATTACTGACATGAATAATAAGCACTTCTCCTTACACGCACTGGACATTATATTCCCATATACTCCATAGGTATATTACATTATTTGACGTGTACCCACTGCGTGTATCTGAAGATATCGTAGGCGATCACAATGGCCGCTCAACGTTTTCAATTGAGTGTGGCGTCAATGACTACACAATATGATTATATCTATGTATACGGGACACGCGTGCTGTTAATTCAGTCGTCTTTCAATTTTAGACCCTGACACTGAAAGTTGGTTAGTTACAGACGTTGCAGGCACAATGTACCATATAATACTTCCCGTAATGTACGTGGGTGGGTCTAGACCGCAAATCATTTATACGTACCTGTCTTTTTCTGCAGTTTTACCTTGCATCGTGGCTACTTTGCAGGGGTGACGGTTTTCCCAACAGCGCTGAGTGCAAATGGCGAATGTAGAAACGGCGAGAACACGTAGATTGTATAATATTTGTGTAGAATTGACTTAACACAGATCAATGACCTTGGGTTGGGCACATTAGCATAACAATGATCGACAACAAGGGGAAAGGAACCTAGATGATGTAGAACAGCTCCGAGATCAGTCACCTTTCACTGACTGTTACCCTCGAATATATATTTCTATGTAGCAATGTGCAAATACTCCGAGAGAAAATGCCAAGCATGTCGTGGCGCGATAGCTGACAAACAGTTTCCAGTTCATAGTCAAAATGAGGTCTCGAATAAATCAATGGTGGGATGTTTGAGATGAAGTAGACGTTACTGCAAATTCCAATTCACCAACCGCGACTCCATTTAGAAATACGCAATAATATAATAATAATAATAATCATAATTTGATTGACATTTTATGTGAACGATTCGCTAGTAGGTATCGCTGTATACTCAGTAAACTCCATACATACCCAATGTTTCTTAGTTACTGGATTACAGCAGTAATATCGGTCGTCACCATGACAACGCTGTTGTATATTTTACATGTCAATCTACACAGTGGGTCGCACGGACAGAAATTTGAGCCATGCATTCAAATACTACAAACGCCACTATTGCAATTGGAGTATATATTTTATTCTTTACACGAAGTTACAAGCAAGATGAAAAATAACGCTGAGTTATAACTCACACAACTGTTGGTACATACACAATGAAGCTACTTATAATTACTAGTATGCGGTATTGTTGTCATGGTAACAAGGGGACGTTGATCAAAACGACTACACTACACAATCGCGATTTTCAAGTCAGTATCCACACTACATAGTAAGAGGTGTGACGTCATGTGACATGTATTTTTTTTTTTTTAGTGCTTCTAGTTTTACATAACGGTTAGTTGACGGGGAATGAGTTAACATGGAGATATGCATTGTTTACAGTATTTGTTATTGTCTTGTATCACGTTGTTTGATAAGGATTTTGTGGCGTCTGGGGATCCAATGCAAAATTTTCCTCTGGAAATGAAATGAAATGTGACACCCATGTGATAAATGGTTCTTGTGAATTCTTCATTAGAAAGAGTAGATACACAATTAGTGATGTTATTTCCATTTGAGTTAAATTAACCGTGTTTGCAGAATGAATGTCTACTGGGACGAATATATCATGCAATTCAGTCATACATTCTGCGTATGACAATTTATCCGACTAGATAATTGATTTACAGTGTTATATGCAGAAATAAAAGAGTGACGTGAAATGTGAGATTTTACTTCATCTTCTGCTTTGAGTCTGTCAATGACTCGTAGACATTCCACTTTATAATGAATAACTTGAAGTCCCCCGTAATTGCATAGTCAAACTGTTTGTGACAAAAACAATATCTACAGTCACCAATATTCTCAATCTTATAGCATTTATATCCACAGGGAGCCCAGGAACTATAATCAACTGTAATACGCAGTCTCTATGAGCGGGGGGGGGGGGTATCGG